GTAAGTCCCAATATATCTCCTTTCAACATTTCCAAACAACTTAAGTGCCTTTTGTGGACACACCCAAGCGCTCAAAAAAAGTTCAAAAACGCAGGTGTGAGAATTTGCTTGCACGCTGCCTTCAATGACTGTTGAAAGTGAACAAGACCAATGTTGATATCTTTTAAAGTATTAAATAATAAAATCTTGATTATTTGCGATTGCGCGATACTCAGGAAATGATTCCTTATCGCTTATTTTATAATGACCTTCTCTTGCTGTCATTTCCAATGATAATCTTTTGAAGGAGGACACAGATTACCAACATTAAAGCAGAAACTCTGCATGAGTGGCTTTACCATACAACTCATCAAAATCTAACTTAAATGGATATTGACAGCTAAAATAACTGTGCAAAACATGAAATTTTCCATAACCATGTTCTTTCCATTTGATTGCTTTAGAACGCTGTGCGATAAAATGACCAAAATCTCAAACAACTTGTGTTAAGAAAATTAATCTGTAAAAATCGTTGAAATTATTCAAGACCATTTGAAATCTGCTAACCAGTCAAAGGCTGATACTTCTTACGCTGAGAGCCTTTACAAATAAGAAATGAACGAGAAAATAAAGAATCCAGTATCATTTTATAAAAAAGCTGCATAGGAGCGCCTTCTAGCCGTCTTCGTCGCTCAGCAGGATTTACACTGAGGATATATCAGCCATAAATGATTTTATCGTTCATTCGCCACATATGTGAATCAAATATAATTCCTCTCGTTATGCTGTTGTGTGAAAGGCATTCTGATTGCATCTGCGAATAGAATTAAGTGTAAGGGCTAAGGTTCCTACTCATAAAAGCTTTATTAGTGATAAAGCCGCTCTCAACAAAAACTCTATATTTATCCTTTGCTGCTAATGCTAAAACTGAGCGTATGATTGTGTTCTTGAACATCTATCTTTCGTTAGGATTATTAAGATTTATCAGTAGATTTCAACCTGCTGCTAATTGTACAAATAAAGTAAATGAGAGTATCATATTACGTTCCTCTCTAGAGAAATTAATTCCACACTATCTCCTGTAACCATCTTAATAGATATTCAGGTGTATCAGAAGGATTAAGATTGT